GCGTGCAGGGACTGGCTCTGCGTGCGTGCGTGCGTGCGCGCACGAGTGCGTGCATGCGTGCGTGCGTGAGCGTGTCGTGGCTCTCCTCGGTCTATGCCGGCCGCGTGTTTGTCTACGTCTACGTTCTATGCTCCGCACGGTTTACAGAGAGCGGCGTGCACCGGCGCGTATCCACCGTTCGTCCGTGCATGCAGGGTCCGCGTGGGAGTCAGTCTCTCTCTCTCTCTCTCTCTCTCTCTCTCTCTCTCTCTCTCTCTCTCTCTCTCTCGGTATATATCAATCCGATCTGCAGGTACCTGTACATTACGTGCCTGCATTAGATACCAGCCGCAAGATTGCCTTGTGTCCCCCATTCTCATTTCACCGCTCATCCTCATCGCGCCCCGAGGTCTCCGTGTTTGTGGAGGCGCGCGATCGTTTCGGGGCATCATCGAGGAAAACCAGATTACGCCGCGCCAAAGCCTCGCCTCGCCTCGCCTCGCCTCGCCTTGCCTCGCCGCGGCCATTTTCCGAAGGCCGACGATGTTAAATAAATAGCTAGTAATTATATAAATAACTCGTGACATATAATTTTACCGAAGAGAAACGGAAACGCGGATTTAACCCTTTGCACTCGGAACAGATTTTTCGGACATCCAGATCTCGTTATACAGAGTCGAATTGAAAGAACAATCGTCGTGCTGCTGGACAATTTTTATAAGAACCGATCGATAAAAGATTCGGCGTTTTTAAAATTATGCATCCTACGGCACGAAAGGAAAATAATAATTAAAAGGAGATGTCACTCCGACGCGAATACATTGTGTCGCCGTATCGGCGACATCCGAGTGCAAAGGGTTAAAAGTGTCGAACAAAGTTGCCTTGCGAACGATACTCGAGCTCGCGAAACTAGCGCGCGCTGTTTTCTTTCTCGTCGCACGATCCGTGCTTTTCCCTGTTTTTCAACGACTGCGTTCGACTTTTGACAGCCGACAACCGAAACACCCGACGGTCATCGATCGATATCACGAAACACCCGATATGTGCCAATCGATATCACGTAGCACGCGCACGTGATACCGTACGCATAGTACGCGCGAAAAGAAATACGACACCACAATGCGACGCGGCGAACCTTCGGCTATTCTAATCGATCGAGGGAACACGAATCTTCGGAGAACGGAGCACATATTCGCATAACTCGATTAGAGTGCTAGATTAACACTGAATTTATGAGAATGACAAGGCTGAACTTATTTCGACTGTAAAATATTGATTTCCATTATAATCTAAGCTCGAACAAAGGAATCCTCTCAGCCGTTTTCTTAGAACGTTTCAGCGAAACGACCGAGATTTCACGCCCTCTCATTGGTCACTGTTTTTCGTTAACCTTTTAGGCACGACCCGCCACTATAGTGGCTTCCGCGGATGTCATCTCTCTGAACGACGCGCCACTATAGTGGCTTGCTCTAGTAGCTCGCTCGGTCATCGTTCGAATCAAATAATCGTCTTCATATGCATTGTTTCACACTTCTTTTGTCTTCACATCGATTTACAATATACAGACTTATCTTAACAATATAACTGTTAACACGTTCCGTGCCGAGCTTTTTTACTCGAATCTTCACACTTTGATATTTTACTAAAACTTGATGTATTACGTGCAATTATTAATTCTCGTACACATAACAACGTAACAAAAACTTATCAACGCCCATTCTTGCGGTGGAAATTGATTCTTCGGTTTTAAATTTCTTGTAAACAATTTGTTCAGTTCACTAAGTAAACATGCAAGCGTGTACCATCGATGGTACACGTGGCACGGAACGTGTTAACAATATAACTGTATCTTAACCCCTTGGCCTACACGATATCTGCCAATTGCGCGAGCATTAGTAAACGAGAAAATCGGTCGCGCGCCGTGCCATTCAACTGTTCAGCCGTGTACCTGAACTGACGCAAAATGTGTACCTTTCATGACATATAGTATATTTCAGTGCAACGAAAGGAATTGCGAAATAATAAACAATGTTTAGGTACAAATAGTAATTTTAAGACGTCTAGGGTGCAATCATAATCAATTGATCGGTTGACAAAAATAATTTATTTTTGCACAAATTTGCACAAATTTGCACAAATTCTTTATCACGAGTCTGACTCGTGGCTTTCGTTTATGGCACAAATTCTTTACCACGAGTCAGACTCGTGGTTTTCGCTTATGGCACAAATTTTTCACCACGACTCAGACTCGTGGTTATAGGCCAAAGGGTTAACAATATATAGACAGAATATACAGACACTCTGTACAGTACATATCAGACTCTGCCGTGCAGACAAATAGCCTCGCGCAGAATTCAGCCGTACCTAAAAGGTTAATAACACGTAAACAAAGCCGCGGATCGCATTTTCGCTAAGAAAAAAGTTACTTCAAATGACCCGAGGAATCCCTCATTTCTCGGAAGCACCGTAATATTGGGACACCCTGTGTACACGTCGCAGGTACCAGAAAAAAGAGCAATGCACCGACAAACGCCCGAACAGCCCGAAGTCCGAAATCGTCACAGTCCCGGGAACCCGTTCGAGGGTTTTCGAAATTCGAGAAGGGGCCCCGCACGCTGCAAAAAAACAGCGAATCCGGCAAGCATCGAGCCGTCCCATCGCATTCGCTGACATATCACGAGCGGCGCGCGCTGACATTAAAATCCGCCCTATCGAGACTCCTCGAAAGTTCGAGCCGGGGCGACGACGAGTTCGACTAATTAGAGTCGTCTAAAAGCGGCCGCTCATTAACGGGCGCACGGCGATTTATCGTCAGCCGGCGGCTGGCCGATGAAAAAAGGGGGGGCGAGGACGGGAGGGGAGGTAACGAAAAGTCAAAGCAGCCGGGGAGCCACGAAGAGAGAGAGAGAGAGTGAGAGAGAGAGAGAGCGAGAAACCACTGAAACGCTACGGAGCAGAAGGGGGTGAGAGAGAGAGAAAGAGAGAGAGATAGATTCGTAGGGAAACGGGGGAGGCTGAGAAAGAGGGAGGAACGAATGACTCGCGGCGAACAAAGGACGAAGAGAGGGCGAGCGGGAGAGGAGAGAGTCGGAGGTGGCGATGTCGGGGGCCGCGATGGAGAGGAAGAACTGGAGGAGGAAATGAAGCGTGTCGGGGCTGGAAAGAAGTCGGCCGAAGGAAAAATTAAAGTCGGAGGATCGGAAGGGAAGGAAGAAGAAAGTCCGCCGGAGAAAGAACGAGGAATCCCGGCGAACACCGGGAAAGTCGACTTCTACTTTCAGCTGTGCGGGGTGGCCGGCGCGACGAAGGGGTTGCTGCGGCGGAACGAGACGGCGAATCGAAAGCAGAGGGAGACGGAGAAGGAGAGGGAGAGGGAGAGAGAGGGAGGATCATTCGTATTTCGCGCTGGTGGAGTCGGCGGCGTGTAGCAGGCGGTCGTCCCGGGTAATACTTTATTTGTCCGCCCCTGGACTTTCTTTCTTTCTGTTTTCCAGCGAGCGCCGCCACTGCCGCCGCCGCCGCGCTTCTTCCTTCCCTCCGCGTCGGTGTTTCCACCGGCTGTGCTCGACCGCGATTCTTTTCACACTCGGCCATCTTTTCCGCCATCTTTCTTGCTAATTACCCGACCCGTTTTCCGCGGTCAGAAATCTCTTCCCCGCCCCCAACCGCGGCGCCTCGCCTCGCCTCTCCTCGGCCCGCGCTCCTCTTTTCTTCTTATTCCCGCAGCCGTAGCGGTTGTTCCCGCAGCGAGAGAGAGAGAGAGAGAGAGAGAGAGAGAGAGAGAGAGAGAGAGAGAGCAAGCACCGTGTACGCGTCTCGGCGGCAGACGTCGCCTCTTCTTTCTTGCCGGCTTGTTCCCGCGAACCGCGACTTTCACGGGAAACCCATGAAATATTCAGACGACCATCCCCCTCCTTGCCCCGTAGCCGGAGAACCCCCGGCCACGTCGTTCCGACGCTTCCGCAGACTTTTACGGACGGCACCCGCCGTTGTATCTCTGATCCGGCCTCCGGCCTCCGGCTCCCGGTCCTCTACAAGGAGCTACGACCGCGAGCACCGGCAACTTCCGCGCGCGTAACCGCGGAAAAAGAAGCAAAGTTACTTAGCGACCCTCTCTCTCTCTCTCTCTCTATCCTTGGATCGACGGACCAGCCGAGAATCGCGGGGAGAGGAGCGGCGAGGAGGGAGCCGCGAGATGGAAACCCACCTCGGTCTCTGCTGTTCGCGGTGACCTCGGTCTTCGGGTTTTCGGTGTTGGTTCTTTGATTTGAAACGCATCCGACGGGGGATCGTACCGCGCTGATACGCGCCGATTTTAGCGAAATCGGCCCGCGTTCGCAATTAAGGAGTTGGAAACGTAGCCGAACTTGGAGCCAAACTGATATCCGGCTGGTATTTGGCTGATATTTGGTACCGAATATCTCGGGAATTATTAGAGTTAGAATGATTGTTCAATCGATTAACACTGGAACTACCGAAGCAGTCAAAATGGCTGGACTTTTAAGAATATTAACAAATTTTCAGATGTTCTTCTTCGTCCAAGCAAATATTGTAACAATTCTTATACGCGGTGTAAGTTAATCTAATTCTGTCATTATCATAAAACAATTGATCGTTTTTAAAGCTCGGTAGCTCTAGCGTTAAATCCGTGCGAGCTTGAAATTTCTTCAGAATTGAAATATTGATCCCAATCTGTGCAGTGCAGATTGGACGGCGAATGGACGGCGAATAAATAAATAAAAAAATATTATAAGATCAAAATATATAGGAAACCTGAAACGCGGCTTTAAAGCTTGCTCGAAGATTAAATGTTTATCTATTGTCGTAATTCTGACGACATCGAGTTCAGGTGATCACAGACGACGCCATAATTCCGGATCAAACAAGCCATCGGAATCGATTAGATTGCATCGAACAAAGGAGGTATCCGCCGTGGAATTTGTCAGAAACGAATGATAAACTTCCGTACGACGTCGCAAAACCCGATATTAAGGCGACCACGACGATGAACGTGCACCTACCTTGATAAAACGCTTGGCCTTTGTCAGGAGACCCAGCGTAGTGTGTCTTGAGGTTTCTGGACCTAACGGGACCAGAACCTTCAGCTTTTCCAGACAATTTCTGAGGTGCGCTCTCCTGCAACAAAGAACAAACACGGGCGAATTAGGGGGCTGTTTGTTACAAAGGTTCTCGGACGGATATCTTACGTCGAGGCCGTATCTATCTCTATGGTAGATATCGAGAATTTCAATTTATTAAAGTTAAATTCCCGCGAACCCAATGTAATTCGATTAATCGAACCGAAACTATTGGGTTGGCAACTAAGTAATTGCCGATTTCAGTTATAAATGTCTCTCACTCCCATTTTTATGATATCCGTAAATGTTATATTATAAAATTATTATTATTATTATTACGTTATTTTTTATTATCCGCGAATGTTAGCAACTGGACAAATTGAATGCAGCGGTCATTTAAGCGCGTCGATCATTTAATTTCGTGCTCTTCCAGTTGACCGCTGAAAAATCGGGGACGATGGAAAGATATTCTTTCTTGTTCTTAGCGTCTTAGAGCGTTTACATTAACGTTGGATCATTGAACATTATAGTATAGTAATTCGTGCGCGATTGGTATAATATTGGGTTGGCAACTAAGTAATTGCTGATTTCAGTTATAGATGTCTCTCGCTCCCATTTTTACGATATCCGTAAATGTTATATTATAAAATTATTATTATTATTATTACGTTATTTTTTATTATCCGCGAATGTTAGCAACTGGACAAATTGAATGCAGCGGTCAAGGAAAAGCGACCAGAATTGGTCAATCGTAAAGGTGTCATTTTCCACCAGGACAATGCTAGGCCGCACACGTCTTTGTCCACTCGGCAAAAATTGATGGATATTGGTCGGGAATTAATGTTACACCCACCACATAGCCCTGATCTCGTGCCATCGGATTACCACTTATTTCGATCCGTGGGCAACTCCCCTCGTGGTAAAACTTTTAATGACGATGACGCTGTAAAATCTCACTGAACTCAGTTTTTGGCCGAAAAGGATCAGACTTTCTACGAACGTGGAATTTTCAAGTTGTCAGAGAGATGGCAAAAGGTCATCGAACAAAATGGAAAATACATTACAGATTAAACTTCGTTCCAAGTAAAAAAAATTTTTTATTTCATTGAACAAATCGGCAATTGCTTAGTTGCCAACCCAATAGAAAAACAAGAAAGACGAGAGAGAGAGAGAGAGAGAGAGAGAGAGAGAGAGAGAGAAAGAGAGGACGTGTGGAGAGAAGCACGCTCAGCATCGTTAGTTACGCGAGCGAGCGCTGAAACTTTATGATTAGTGTAAAAAAAGTCGATCTTTCGAAGACATTAGAGGAGAATCCCCGATAATGTCAGGAGCCGAGGCCCCATTCTCGCGATAACTGGCTATCAGAGGAGGAACGCCGTGTATAGGTTGACCAATTCGAAACTTTAACGCGCTCGTAATTCGTCGCTGCGCGGTGCGGTGTGGGTCGGGTTGGGGAGGTTGAGGAGGCGGAGGAGGCCGGGGACCGGCGGGGAGTGGTTCGAATTACCCGAAAGCTTTCCTGGCATCCGTTTTTCGTGTCACGTAGGGTGCACGATGAATGGAGCGGAATCTCGCCCGGTAAGCTTCGCTGGAAGCCCGTAAACGGAGGACAAAATTGAGGCCGAGACCGGAAGAAATGGAAGGAAACGTGGTCGGCGGAGAGAAAGGAAGAGAGAGAGAGAGAGAGAGAGAGAGAGAGAGAGGGAGAAAGAGAGAGAGAACAAAGAGAGAACAAGAGGGAATAGGTGGCAACGAATCGGCGAACGCGAATCCCCGCGGCACGCCGTAAGCCGTAAGGAATTCGGGGACCGACCGCGCGGCGAGACCGCGAACGAACCCGGCCCGCGAAACCGGCCGGAAAAACCGATAAGATCCCGATTATCGCGGCGATCACGGGCCATTAGCTGAACGAATCGCGCGCGATAAACATACACTCGGAATACGAAAGCAGGAAACGCGCGGGAATTATTTCCCTCCCGGAATATCCTGCGGCGACCGTTTGAAAACGAAGAAACGACCGGCCGGGATCCGCTCGGAATCCAGCCCCTTTCCGGCGGACCCGATATCGTCCCCTGCCCCGGGAATTCGCCGGCTATGCTAACGACATTCGATAGCAATATTTTCGACGCAAGTATCGGAGGATCGCGACCGCGCCGGATGATTCCGAGGTGTAGGACAGGCCCTCGTGAATTCGCAGCATTCGAACCGTCCGAGCAGCCCTGCGCTCCGCGCGACGGCCATTGAGACGTCTTCTTCCTAGTTTCGCGGCCGAATTATCATTTCGTCTTCGAGGCCGGACCAAGCTGTTAAATCCACCGAATGAATCCTCTTCGATGCATTAATCCATCGATTTACCGTTTTCTTCGCAAGTTACTGCGATTAGAAATGTTTCGATTGCAATCGTCTCTTCGAAGGGAAGAGAGAATTTATGCTTATTCTCTGCCTAAATTTACTCGAATGCTTACATATTGCTAACGAGATATTAGAATTTCATTCCAATTTTAAAGGACGGAATAATATTCATACTCGATAAGTTATTGTTTGAAAAGTCTGACGGATAGAGAAATCCACTTTTTAAAAAGTATTTAACATTTCCGAGACCAACGACGAGATTTTGACAACGGCTCGCGGAAGATTCGTATTCCGCAGGAAGATCCGTAGGCCGTTAACGCGGATTTTCCGAGGAGGGTGAAGAAATCGAGGCACACACGAGCCACTTAATCGGCAAGTGCCGGCTAGCCAGTGCCGGAGCGAGCGTGTCGCGCGAGACGATTTATTTCGAGCGTCGCGCGCGCGTTGGTAACAAGTCCGTCGCGGACGTGCGTCACGTGTGCCAAACATGCGCCATTGCAGGCATTTAATTATAAGTTTATGCCCGGTTTATTGTTCCGCCGTGGAAAATGGAGGCTACGACCGCGACGACGACGACGGGCGACGACGACAACGATGGTGTTGTCGACGAACCCGCTCGAAGACGGTTGCAAGGGTGTGCGGTGCGCGAGAGGGTTGGAGAGACGACCGCCTCGCCTCGCTTCGCCTCACCGCGCCTCGCCTCGCCGCGGCGCGCCGGGGATGATGGTTTGGGGTTACGTCGAAAGAGCCCACCAAGACGTCGACGTCCCTGCGGGTACACGCAAGGCCCCCTTGTGTGTACCGGCCGCGTTTGCACGTACGTTTTACGAGAAACAATAAGCCGGCTCCGGCTTAATGACGTCATCAAACGGTATTATGTCTCGCGGGCCGCAGAGTGGACGGTTTCCGCCCCCGGATAGATGCATTCGCGGCTGGTTGCGAGCGGGCGTTATGCGCCGGCATTTAGGGACCCGGGGGCTGCGTTTAAGGGGCTCCGAAACCCGAAAGGGAACAAAAAACTCATTTCGCGAACCGTTTCTCCTCGGCCAGCGCGCGCGCGCGCGCTCCTCCGCCCCGCTCCGACGACCCGCGAGAGATCCGCGCCAATTTTTATTTCGTTTTCATTTTCTCTCTTTTATTTCACCTTCCCCTCTCCCCCTCCGCCGTGTCGCTCGCTCTATTTCCCCCTCCGTCCCTCTCTGCCGTCCGTGTGTACACGCGTACCAGCGCGTGCCTCTTTTTCTTTTTTTCTATTTCTCTTTTTTTTGGCCGGAGAGCTTTCGTTCGGAAGATTTACGCGCGCGCATCCTTTCCAGCTTTTATTTCTCTGATTTTTCGCGGTAATTGGTGGGGTTTGTTTGAATAGAAGCGGGGCCGAGGGCGTACGTGATTTAGGTTTGGATTTCGCGAAGGGTGGCTTGCGGATTTTTACCGGTGAATTCCCGGCCGCCGAAGCCGCCGCTGCCTGCTGCTGCCCGCTGTAAAACAATTTCCACGGTCCTTTTTCGGCTAATTTAGCGATCCGTGGAATTTTTATTAGTATTATTTGCCGCTGTCGCGTCGCGTACCGGCGCGTTTTACCCGTCGACTCGGCTGGAAACGACGCGCGGGGAAACGTTCTCCGTTGCTCGTTTTATCAAAACGTTCAACGGCCCCGTGGTTTTGCCATTTTTACGGAGCCGTTCGGCGGGCTTTCTTCGCTTTCGCCGTAAACGAAACGGCGCGCGCGCGACGTTTCCCCGCGTGGACCCGTTAATTCGTTAATTCGCTCCGCTTTCGAACAATTCCCTCCGAAACTTCGTGCTCGCAATTTAACCTTTTAGCTACGGCTGGATTCTGCGCGAGGCTATTTCTCTGGACAGCAGAGTCTGATATGCACTGTACAGAGTCTGATACTGTATATTCTGTCTGTATATACAGGATGTCCCAAAAATGTCTCGCAATCCGAAAGTGGCGGGTTCCTCGGGCCATTTGAAGCAACTTTTTCCTTTACAAAAATGTTCTCCGAGGCACCGTTAACGAGTTATTAACGAAAAACAGTGACCAATGAGAGGCGAGCTCGGCTGGCGCGAGGCGATCGAACCAATGAGCGGAACTGAGCTTCGCGCGCTGGTCGGCTGGGCCGCCTCGCGTCAGCCGTACTCGATTCTTATTGGTCACTGTTTTTCGTTAATAACTCGTTAACGGTGCCTCGGAGAACATTTTTGTAAAGGAAGAAGTTGCTT